AGGTTAAAAACCTCGCTGAAGTTATACTGCTCCTGACATCAGGGGTATGGGGCAGAGGGAACTAGAACCTGGGTCTTCTGAATACCCAGTGAAGGAACCGAGTGAACGCTCCTAATGCGGTGCTTTGCCACTTCCCCATCTTCAAGCTGGAGGGTGCCTGGCTCCACACAGGGCCATCCGGTAGAGAAACGTGGGCTTGAAAAACATTCTTAAAGTACTTTCACACAGTATCTAACGTGACCTCCCCATCTGGTGGAGTTTAATGCAGTTTGTTGGTGGAGATGGTATACTGTTTTTGTGCTTCAGTTAATAGCACTAACGTTACAGAGTGTGAGCTTATCAGGCACTAAACGTGTCCCATTGAAAGAAGAAGACAAAGCATGCCTGGTTTCCCTTTGAAAATTAGAGTTCAGGATAATTTGTGGACTTTTTGAAAAAAGTATTGTTTCTTGTGCATAATCTTTCTCGAGACTTCAGAGATACAAGTATGACATTTCATATTATCACACGTGAATTTGAAAATGGATAGTGGATGGTGTATATAACTTACTGGCATTTTATTAACCTTTTGAAACCACTAAGGATTGAGATGGCTCTGCTTCCCAGCCCTTCCCTGTTAATAGCAGGCCATGTGTCTTTTCATCTTGAACAGTGCCTTGTGTTGCCTTAATGCCTTAGTGCAGGAAGAGTGCTAATTGGATGTCAGATTTTTTTTAAAGTACATGAATCAGTGCTGAATAATTTATATATGGTAACTTTGAAGGTGTCTGCTAAGGAATCTGTACTTGTGTTGCACTTGGTCCAGAAAGTGAGCAGAGTGCATTATGGACAGTGTTTTGGCTCAGATATCATCTAGATGCCTGGATTTAATACTTGCAACTGGAAAGAAGTTAGTGGGTGAGCCACTGATAGAAGGTCTGGCAACTATAGGAAACGTGAATATCAAATGATAGATTCCCACGGAAAGAAAGAAAGGAAGCAAAACGAATGTGAAGAAGATAGATTTTAAATGATAACCAACTGTCATGCTGCCTTGTCTTCCTTATTCCCTTAGAAAGGCGCACAGTGGCTTTAAAAGGTCACCAGTGTGTATTGAAGAACAGAACGTCAAGAAGAACCCTCTGCTCTGTTCTGGTGTGCACACTATCTGGAAGTAATGAAATGCTTCTCTTCTCTCCCTTAAAGTGACATGGCTAAATAAGGGTTGTGGATCAAATGTACAGCATTTCCTAAACTTGAACATATATATGACCTTAAGCCGGAGGTGTAGAAGGGGGAAGATGCCAAAAATTGGTCACCATTTTCTCCACTAGATTTTTTATGAAGGCTGCCTTCAGATGCCTTTTAAGCTATTTCAGATATCTTTTCGGTATAATTTATATTTGACTATATAAACATAAGATAATTGAATTTATTCCCCATTTTCAAGTTCAGATTTAATTACTGATCTAATTTAGGTCACTTCTGGGTTTTCCTCTGAGATTCTTTCAGGAGAATCTAACATAGG